TCACACACTTTAGTAGTAATTTAGAAGGCAGATCTTAAAGGCTTAGGAAGGAAGACAATACATTCCAAATGACTGTGTATTTATCAGGCAATTCTCCATGGAGTCTAAAGGGCCTGCAGAGCCCTCTCCCTCCACCTCTCCCCCCACCCTCTCCCCCCAACCCCAGAATTTCAGAGTCAGGCAAACAAAGACTCCATCAGACCTCTCCTCAAGCCGCTGGAAGTTGAGTTCCAAATGCTCCTCAGAAGTAGTTAATCACATCCTGTCTTGGTTGGGGATTTGTGGAGGGGGGAACAGGGCGGCTGGTACCTACAATTGGCTCTTGGTGTGTGCTTAGGCCCATTACCATGTCACTTACAACGTCCTCTCCTACAAAGAGTCCCCAGCAGGGGAGCCGAGGGGCGCCAGGAGAGAGAAAGCCCTGAGAACAGCCGGGAGATTGGGAGGAGTTATTCCTACAGATTGTACAGGTTTCTGGCTCTCAGGCCTCTGGTCCATCTGCAAACATTTTGCAGACTGTTCCCTAAAAAACAGACTGTTTTTAGGGAGGAGAAGCACTTTAGTTATTTTTTAAAAGATTTATTTATTTATTTATTTGACAGAGAGAGAGACAGAGAGCTCAAGCAGAGGGAGTGGCAGGCAGAGGGAGAGGGAGAAGCAGACTCTCCGCTGAGCAGGGAGCCCAGCGATGCAGGGCTCGATCCCAGGACCTGATCTGAAGGCAGATGCTTAACTGACTGAGCCACCCAGGCACCCCTTTAAATTAAGTAGCTTTTTTTAAAAAAAAATATTTTTATTTATTTATTTTAGGGAGAGAGAGAGAGTGCGTGCACAAGTTGGGGGGGGAGCAGAGGGAGAGAGAAACTTAAGCAGACTCCGCACTGAGTGTGGAGCCTGATGCGGGGCTTGGTCCCAGGACAGGACCCTGGGATCATGACCTGAGCCAAAATCAAGAGCCGTCCGCTTAACTGACTGAGCCACCCAGGTGCCCCCGGGAAGAGAAGCACTTCCACTTTCTAATACTGTATTATTTGGGCACCTCCAGATTCCTCATTCTGTTTTTTATTCCCCTTCTTTCAGCAAAATATAGTGTATTCTCTGGCATGTGTGGTCTGTGGGAAGCTGACGGCTTCAGCAGTGTGACTGCACTGCTGGCCCACCCTGGGGCCTGACAGGTTCAAGGTGGGGGTCTCCCCTCTTCCCTTCAGAGATCCACAGCCAGGCAATGGGGGGGTTAGGGGGAAGGGACATGAATAGGACACTTGGGTTTGTTCAGAGTCAAAAATCCAGCTCCAGATGTGTCTGCATTCAGATGTGTCTGCATTAATATCCCCTGTCCAACCTACCTTCTTCTAGAGGATATGTGATTCTAGGAAAAACAGACCCACACTCAAATCCTGACTCTCCCACTCAATCACTATGTGACCTTAGGCAAGTCACTCAACCTCTCTGTTTCCCCTTCTACAGACAGAATGGGGATTGTGTATCTGACTCATCCGGTTATCGAAGGGACTGAGTGAGGAGATATATCAAAAGGATAGGGCAGTGACTGGGGGCAGCCAGAAAGCATTATGTCACCCTCCTCCACTCAACCCCCTCATTCTGACCCTGCTTAGTCTGGGGCAAAGTGGGAAGTTACCTCTCCTTTTCAAAAATGATCGTGGCCGTGGGGTGGACTCTATCACGGGTCCCAGCTTTAAGCTTCCTATACCAGAAGGAAAGCATGCAGCATTCACACGGAAATGAAAACGTGGGTCCTTCAGTATTTCTAAATGTCAACAGATGTTTGCTTTGGGCATGCAAAGTGTCCTCGGATCCCGGAGAAGTCTAAACTGGACAATGTTCAGCCCAGGGACAAGGCAGAGGCGGGAGAAGGAGAAGGCTGCTGGCCGAGAGAGGGAGGGACCTGGGGCAGAGACACACAGGCCAGGAAGCCAGAAAGATGGAGAGAAGGAGGTGGACGCAGGACGCTGGGCTGGAGGTGCAGCAGCTGGAACTGGAGAGCCTGTCACCAGGCAGAAGGGGGGCAGAAGAAAGCCCTGACTCAATCCCAGGCCCCTGAGCAGCAGGTAATGGCTGAGCTGTGAGGAAGACCCGCCAAGTCAGACACGTAGACTAAACCAGAAGTGGACTCTTACTTCTACAGAGCCCAAGATAAATGGGGCTGAATGCAGCCCAGGAAGCAGAAGTCCTGGACCTTGAGCATCTGGCCTCACACCGGCTCCTGCAGCTAAAGGGAGTGGCAGCAGGACGCAGCTGCGTTATTTACCCTGAGCCAAGGGCAGGAGCAGAGGACCGAGCTACCAGCACTTGATGAGGCCACCTGACCGACGTAGGCCCGGGCCCCAGTGTAAGACCGAGCGGGGCGGCGTGGGAGAGAGACCAAAGTGGCTGCATAGCCCCGGACCGAGGGGTCTTCTTCCTCCGTCCTGTGCTAAATGACGTCATGGATTCATTCATTTATCTTCACAAAGTCCAAGAGACAGGTACTACTGATGTCACTCTTGACAGCTGAGGACACTGGGAGGTCAAGCAGCTCAGGGTGGAACTTGGACAGGAAGCCAGGCAGCCTGATGCTGGAAGCCATGTGTCTGACCTCTACCCCACACTACCTCCAGGCGCTGGTGCACCATTCCTCCCTGCAGCAGATCAAGGGGGGAGACATCATCCACTCTTCTCTGCGGCTGCCCCCGTGGTACAGATCCGGGTGACACAGGGCAAGAAATGGGGTGAGTAGCCCTGTAGCTGCCTGGCTAAAGGAGCCCGTGTCCTACCCAGGTGGATCGCCAGTCCCACCTCCGCTTGGAAAGCCCCCAGCAGTGGTCCCTAAGCACATGGGAACTACAGACACTTGCACCCTCTGGAAGGGGACCGGTTCCAGGAACAGAGCTCGAGCAAAGCCAGAGATTTTTCTGGGTAAAGAGGCACATCTGACGGGAAGGCCAAAATGAAAAGCCTATTAACCCACAAGCTGCTCCAGAGCTCCTAGGGGTGGCTTCCCTCTCTTGGCTTCCTCTCCCTACTAGAGAATTCTCAGCACCATCCCCCACCTCCCAGCCTCTTTTCCAGATCCCAAATCCCAGCTGGCGTGCCCAGAGGCTGCTGGTTGGTTATGCCCTGGGCCACTAATGCATGGTCCAGCATCTCTCACAGCAGATCCCTCCAGTGGTCATCAATCCAGAGTCCAGCCTGCAGGAAGGCCCCCTCCTGAGGCACTAGATGCTTCTCAAAGATCTCCAAGAAAGATTCCACGTGGCCCTTCTCACTGTCAGGAAGTCCTCCTTTGCATCTGACCTCAATCCTTCCTGTGGCCTCCAAAACAAAGCATCTGTTGCCTTCTATGGGGAGGCAGCCCAGCACAAGGGCTCAAGAGTTAACAGGGTCTTGGGCTGGGGAGGGCGACTGGCTTGGTCATGGACAGTGTGACACTGGGCAACATGCTTAACTTCCCTGGGTCTTGGTTTTCTCGATTCTAAAAAGACAGTAGCATGGGTTACAAGAGACAACAGACGTCAAGAGCTCGGAGGACAGCCTATTCCGGGAAAAGCTCTCAGTGAGCAGTCGCCTGTGACAGTTGCGATGGCTCTCCCATCCCTGGGGAGAGGCCACCTTGCCCAGACCTCCTGGTACACACCAGGCTTGTCTTCTTGAGAGGGGCGTGCCCACAGCATGACTCAGCCTGCCTGCCTCTCTGAGGAAGACCCTTGTCTCTGCTCCTGGACCTTCCAGGAACCTCCCAAAGCAACTGACAGCCACATAGTAGTCATTAGGAACCCCTGAAAATCTTGGTGGAAGATGCTGGGTCATTCCTCCAGGCCAGGTGCCCAGGCAGGGCTGATCACACACACACCCCCCCCCCGCCCCCAGTCCCACTCCTGACCTCCAGCTGTTTTGCTAGCTCCGGTGCCCTGTGTTAGTAGAAGAGCATCCAGCCTGGCACACACATCACAGGAACAGTGCTCCTAGGAGCAGGCAGATGCTTCTAAAAATAGTCGCCACCTCTTCAGACCGTGGGAGGGGAAGGGAAGCGAGTGCCCACAGTGCCTGCAGGAGTGGAGAGCCCAAGGAGGAGCTACAGTTCTCCAATCCAAACAAAAAGTTTAAGTCACTGGGTCCAAGCGCTGCCGCAGGGAGCCATGAGGAGTGCTGGAGAGACAGTCCCTGCCACCGGCCCCCTTCTCCCTCCCAGCTTATAGCCAAACCAGCCCACAGCCCCTCAGAGCTGGCTTGAGATGGAAACGTGTCCCAAATCAGGGGAACTCCAGGCCAGAGCCACTTGCAAAGGCCAAAGGGAGCACCATTAGCTCCTGACAGAGCCAGGTGACCCAGGCCTGCCTGGGCCCCGGCTTCCCTCTTGTTTTGGTTCAACTCTAAGTGAAAGGGAATCAAGACTCCCTGAATCAAAACTAGCTCTGCATCCCTAGAAGAGTGGAGAGCAAAATGGCCTGTTCTCACTTCTTCCCAACCAGCAGCTTCTGCATCCCTGGACTGAGATCCAGAGATGCCAAGACTAAGTCGGATAGGCTCTGCTGGAAGGAGAGGGCTATTTGGGGATGGTGGGGACCAGAGCCAAGGGCTGAGGGAGAGAAAGGGAAGGGCTCGGGAGGACTAACCCAGAGGGACAACAAGTCCCAGAGTTAATACGGGCTTTGCAATCAGATGCGCAGCCTGAGTCCCCTCTGACAAATGCTCCTCAGCCTCTCACTTCCCCAGACACCCTTCCGACCAGAGCTCCCCTGCGCAGCCTTGCCAGGGTGTGGGCGCCTCATCCCTTGCCACTCTTCCTCCAAAACTGAAGCTAATCCCTCCTTATTGCTTCTCTCCCTTCTGGCCTGCTTGCTTCATGTTCCACATCCTAACACCAACCCAGCCCGCTCCCTGGCTAGAAAGCTTCTTGCAGATCTTGCCCACAAACACAACTCCAGCACCTTCAGGAAACAAGGCACCATCCCAACACAGGCCACTTCGGAGTCTGGGAGGGCCAAAGCAGAAGGACTCACCTGGAAGGAGGAATGGGGTGGGGACAGGAGGCCGGGAGTAGGGTAGAGGTGACCACCCCACCTCTCTCCTGCACGTGTCGTGCTCCAGTTCATCCAGTGTCTTCTCACTCTCCCTCCATGGGGACAGGTGGGGATGGAGAGCTAGGCATCTCTCACGACCCAGGCCATTCCAATGGGCAGACAGAGGCCTGAGCAAAAACCCCAGCTAGACCTTCCCCCTGGATGCTGGCCTCAGAGCAAACACAGCAGCTCTGCCCCGGGGCGAATCAAAATAATTCCTGGCTTCCCTGCTCCTTGCCACCTCCCACTTGCCACCTCCCCAGCCCTCGGTGGCATAAACAGGGCTTTCTTATCTCAAGCCCACCACGTCCTCTGAAAGTGCTGTGAATGGAATCCCACACAATACACTTGTTTATTAATAACCACTCAGCCTCCCGCCCCCCACCCTGGCTTGCTCATTCGCTCACCGCCGGGTCCCCCTCATGCATAATGGAGGAGTTATGTGGCCCATGACACAAGCCGGGCTGTGCTGCTCAGGCTCCGAAGGAATAGATGGACAGAAGTACCAGGCTGGGCCAGGCTCCCCAAGGCAGGGGTGGAAGGAGGAGCAGACCCCTTGGTTAAGACTAGAAGATGTAATGTTCTGTGGGTGGTATCGACCCCCCCATATACACACCCTACTCGAACCCAAGCCGGGATGGCAGTGGGTTGTGTAAAATTTATTCAACACCCACCCTGCCCATCCAAAGCCCAATGAAGGACGAGGGCTCTCACAATGTCAACTTCAGCCCGCTGGTCCACTTCTGCTCTACGGCCTCAGGACAAACCACTCTCTCTTCTGCTCAACAGCCCATCGCACATTTGACTATCGACATGAGTGTACCCTCGCCTTCAGCATCCAGGTCTTCTCCAGACTACGTATCTCCAGTCCCTTCGGCTACCCCCCACGCAACTCCTTCCATTCCCTGCACCATCCTGTTCCCCCTACGTGGTCAAGCTTCTGAGGGTCAGGCTCTCTCTTAAAGTGTAAGGCCCAGTCCTCCTATTTTGCTGGTAAGAGTGGACCTTGCTAACGTTCTTCTGGAGGGAAATCTGAAAATGCATCTAAAATTCTTATGCCCTGGGGTGCCTCAGTGGCTCAGTCTATTAAGTCCACATCTGACTCTTGATTTTGGTTCAGGTCACGATCTCAGGGTCGTGGGATTAAGCCCTGCATTGGGCTCCATGCTCAACTTGGAGTTGGCTTGAGATTCTCTCTCTCCCTCTACCCCTCCCCCTGCTTGTGCTTTCTCCCTCTCTCTCAAAATAAATATATTTAAATCTTTTTAAAAAATGTTTATGCCTTGTTTCATAAATTCTACTTCTGAGAGTAGATCTTAGGTGAATAATTGAGGATAATGAGAATATGTAAGTCACACAAATGTTCATCAGAATATTGTTTGTAATGGTAAAAATTTAGAAACAATCTGAAGAGCCATCACTAGGGGAAATGATGAACTATGGTATGTCCATGGTTTGACAGGAAGTAGTGTGTAAAAATAAGGGTTCTGGAGCCAGACGACCTGGGTTCAAAATCTGGCTCTGCCATTTACTGGCTGTGTTACCTTGGGCAAGTTATTTAGCCTCTCTGTGCCTCATTCTCTTTATTTGTATAATTGGGGTAATGACAGTATCTATCTCAAGTTACAAAATTCAGTGAATGATAATGCCTGATGTATATGATAAATACCAAAAAAAAAAAAGGTTGGATTCTTATTACTATCATAAGCCATGAAATATTATATAGTTATTAAAGCAATGAAATAACATAGAACAATATTTTAATAGTATGAAAGATTATTCAGTGCAAAGAGCAGATTGCACAAAGAGAGTAAGAATGGCTCTCTCTGGGTGATGAAATGATGGATGATCTGCATTTTCTCCTTTGTGCTTATATCTATCTTCTAAATTTTCTGCAAAGAACATAAACTACTTTCGTGAATAAGAAAAGGTACGTGTGACCGTATGATGCAATCCCCAGCGCAGAACGCAGGCCAGCCCTGGTTCCAGATGCTGCCCTTCCTCTGGGGAAGCTCCGTGTGCACGGTCTCTCTGATCATCACATCACAGCCTCTCTCTGAGCTTCAAGTCCACAACACAGCCCCCTGGCCCTGGCTCCCCCCTGCCCCACACCTTGCTCCTAGCCTGGCCTTCTCCCAGGGGCTACTGTTGAGCCTTTTCTCTTGTCTATAATGAACATGGGTTAGTGGACTTTGTAAGGATGTGGGAAGGAGAGTTGAGAAAGCCCCAACCAGACTGGAAGGTGTCAGCCCTACGGTTCAGAGTCAGAGTAGGAGGGCACACCCCAGGTGGGGGCAGAGGGAGTCCGTTTTCCATATCAGCGGGGTAAGAGAGGGGTTAAGGGAGAGACCAGATTTATCCCACACTGAAGAGGAGTAAAAGGAGGTTAGATTCTGAGAAAATCAGGCAAGCATTCAGATGGGGGGGCCGACCCAGAGGGCAGGGCTGCCCCACTGCTTTGGAGTTCTCCTGGCTTCTGGAGGCTTCTTTGGAGGCAGCCACACTGGTCAATCCCTCAGAGCCAGCTGTGTCATAGCCCCCTTCTCAAGTGAGGACGACTGTCCCAGCGCAGGACAGCGAGTGGGGAAGGGTTGGCAGCCAGGGGGAGGGACGCAGTAGGGAGCAGGGAGAGCTGCTGGGGCTGGTCGGCCTGAACGTGGGTCACATCTGCAGAGGACGGCCCACACCAGCACGGGACGGCTGTGGTTGTGAAGACAGCTGGCTGCCTGCAGGAGAGCTCCATCTCGTCCCAGGTCCTAGGCAGCACTCCCCAGCCCCTGCAGGCTCACCCCCTGCCACCCACTGCCCTCCCCTGGGAGGACTGGTGTGCCAAGCTCCGCCCACCCACTCTGCCATACCAAAGAGATCCGCAATACGGTGATCTGGGGGACGGTTGACCTTGCCAGAGAGTGGCCAAGGGACTGCCGACAGGAATCAAGGGGACAGCGTGGGGCTGGGTGAGCCTGAGGCCCTCAAGCTGCAGTTGTTAACTGGCTGTTGACCGACCCGGCTAAGGGTCTAGTTTCCTCTCTGTGTGCATAATCCTCACTTCCCGAGATGGAAAGTGACTTCCATTACAACAGGAAACTTGCGGTATTTTGTCCGAAGGATTTAAGCAGAACCGTGGGTGGTCCGTGTCAGAGGAGCTGTAGAAATCCCAGCACTGAGTGGGAGGGCGCGTCTGAGGGCCCCTCCAGTGCTGAGAGCCCAGATCACACATTCATGGGGGGCTTGGGAGGGGAACGTGAGGAACCCCCCCAGCAGCATGGCCTGAGTCTGCACCCACTTGAGTCTGTGTGTGCCTCTGCGGGCGGTGGTGTGACTGCCTCGTGGGTGTGCCTACACGTGAGCATGTGTTTGTGAGCATGCGTGAAGGATATACCTGTGCATCCCTGGGAAGAGTTGCAGTTCCCAAGTGTATGGCTCCGTGAGTGTGAGCACTCTGCTTGGCTGTGTGCGTGTGTGTGAAAGTGTGATAGTGTTTCAGGGTATGCATATGTCTCCCTGCCTGGCTTGGTGAGCATATGGGTATGTCTGTCCCATAGTTTCTGTCTCGTATGCACGACTCATATCATTAGTGTGGTCCGACATGTGTGGGTACCTGTCTTGGTGAATCTACAGATGTTCCAGTCCATGTACGTGGCACTGACTGCATGCCTCCTTCCGTTTACAGGATGGTATCATTCCATATGTGCCTGTAAGTGTGAACTCGTGTGTGTGTGTGTGTGTGTGTGTGTGTTCAGTAAGTTCTCATATATGGGTATGTGTTTTTTTTTTTTTTTAAAGATTTTATTTATTTATTTGAGAGAGAGAATGAGATAGAGAGAGAGCATGAGAGGGGGGAGGGTCAGAAGGAGAAGCAGACTCCCTGCTGAGCAGGGAGCCCGATGCGGGACTCGATCCCAGGACTCCAGGATCATGACCTGAGCCGAAGGCAGTCGCCTAACCAACTGAGCCACCCAGGCGCCCGGGTATGTGTTTTGATGTGTGGGTCTCTTGGTCTCAGTGCATGTGTTTGTCCTGGTTCCTAGATGTATGTACGTCTACCTTGATGTGTGTACTACGTCTGTGCTTCTCCTTATGTGTGGGTCTGTGTGTGCAGAAGCAGAAGCCAGAGAGGGTTGGGCATTCGCATCTGCGAATTACCCTGTGTTACCAGAACGCTCTCCAGTCAGGAACAATACTAAATGACTTGTCCACCTGCAAACCCTTCAGGGGCTCCCTGTTCCTACAGAATAAAATCCACCTCCCCCCTGCAGACATCTAGGAAACTCCTTGTCAGCATCCAGTAATCTGACTACACTTGCTTTTCTCCAAATGCCTGGAACAGCCTACCTCCTCTTCTGCTTTTTATGTTTCTTTTCCTAGAGTTCCCTTATTCCACTTCTGCTCAACAGAATCCTACTCATCCTCTAAGGCCCGGGGCCAATGCCACCTCCTCCAGGAAGGCAATGCCGCCCTCTGGCTGGACATGAACATCCTGCCTCTAGCTCCCAAAGCACATTATGTATATCCTCACTAAGCACAGACCTCGTCCTCCTTTCATTGCAGTGATGTGTGCAAGTATTTTCTCCCCTACAGGATGACGAATAACACATAGTTAGTGACTTTGTCCTGACTTTTGCAGGTCCCAAGGTGCCTGGTTCCATGCCTGGTACACAGAGACCTGCAGTAAATGTTTACTGAACTACATGACTTGAGTTTGGCTAACCAGCAAGCTGAACATGGAAAGAGCACTCACTGCCCTGGGCAAGCACAAGACATAGGTCTGAGAGTCTCCAGCCCTAGTGTGCTATAGGGCTAGGAAAAGCCACTTACTCTCCTTGGACTCAGGCTCTGTGTCTGAAGGAGCCTCTTCTAGGAGCAAATGCCCAACGTCAAATGGGACAGCTCTGCTAGCTTCCTCGTTCTTGTGAAGCAGTTCCCTAAGAACTGATCTCTCTCAGAGGCTAGGCACAGCTCCAAAAGCCTCATCCACCATGACGTTCATATGGCTGATTGCTGCAGCCAGGACAAAATCCAATGACCAATTTTCCTTTAGCACCTTAAAAGGCACACTCCAAATCCCAAGGTTCTCTCGCATAAGCTGAGCTTTTGTGCTGTAAAGATGCAACTCACTGGCCAGATCTCCAGCCTCTGGAGCTGAGCAAGACCCTGGCTGCTGCTGGTGGGGCATGGAGCAGGTAGCACTTTCCAAGACTTGGTGCCAAGAGAAAGATCACCTGAACAAAGATGTAGATGCTTACACTGCCCTTGAAAAATACAGCAATGTTTCACTCATAATTTGGGGGCAAACTACCAGAAAGT